TCGCGCTTCCTTTACCCTACCGGGTAATTCTTCCGAACTACCTTTAACCTACCTTTACCTTACCCCTTGGCATGTCGACACCTTTACCCGGCTACCCGTACCCAGCCGGGTACGGGTAGCCGGGTACCCGTTTGCGACCCTGGTGCGGCCGGGTACGGGTAGGCCGTGAGTCACTGGTGAGTCACCGTTTGTCACTCATTTCCCAACGTCTTGTCTCTTCTCACAATTCAAGTTCCTAGAATCAACCCACCCGCGCCTGCAACGTGGCTCTATCCCAGAGGTCGCAATCGGGTACCCGATACCCGTACCCTACCCGTACCCGGCCGGGTACGGGTAGGGTACGGGTACGGCCGGGTACGGGTACGTGAAAGGAATCAAAACCCGTTTGCGACCTCTGCTGTCGCGGTGCTCACGTATCGGTGCACGTGTCGTTCTGCGGCATGCAGATTACGCGGCGGGAGCCGTGAAGGGAAGCTCATTGGCGACGGCCGACGGAGACAAGCGGCAGGTGAGTTTGGCGGTGGCGTCACGAGCACGTCGGAGCGCGCGTGCGCTCGCGCGTGCGGCCGGTGCGAGCGTGGGGATCGGTGGCCCACACACGCTTTGATTGACTTGTCCGTGTTTTTCATAAAAGTAAGTTTCTCACAGCAGCGTAGCTACGCACAGCCTCCTCACCCAGCCCCTCCCCATCCTCCCACCCAGCCTCACCCAGCCCCACCCTCCCCTCTCCACCCAGCCCCACCCCTCTCCCACCCCCCACCCAGCCCCACCCTCCCCTCCCCACCCAGCCCCTCCCAATCCTCCCCACCCCACCCGGCCCCACCCCTCCCATTCTTGCATGCACGACTGACGGACAGACACAATAATCCCCTGTGGGCTGGGTGGAACCAGGTGGTTCCTACCAGTGTAACCGTCGACTCTGCTCATCGTGTCCGTAGCCCAGAGCAAGTTGTGGTCAGTCCCAACAGGAACCGCAGCAACGAGGAGGAGGAGGAGACGGACACGAGGAGGAGGAGGAGGGCGTTGACGACGATGTCAAAACGAAGACGTCGTCGGACACCGTCTCCCCCGCTCCCTCGGCTCCCGCGAGCTCCGACCACGACATCAGCAGCAGCAGTAGCGGCAGCAGCAGCAGCAGCGGCAGCAGCAGCAGCGACGCCAACGCCGCGTGCCTCGTGTGCCTCGTGTGCCAGCACCGGCCCAGGAGCTGCACGCTCGTGCACGGAGAGACGGGCCACCTGGTCACGTGCTGCGCGTGCGCCAAGAAGCTAAAGCGCCGCAACGAGCCTTGCCCCGCGTGCGGCAGGCCCGTCCACGCCGTCGTCAGGACGTACCTGCGGTGAGAGAGACGCCAGCTGACGTCACCGTCCACGCCGTCGTCAGGACGTACCTGCTGTGAGAGAGACGCCAGCTGACGTCACCGTCCACGCCGTCGTCAGGACGTACCTGCGGTGAGAGAGACGCCAGCTGACGTCGCCGTCCACGCCGTCGTCAGGACGTACCTGCGGTGAGAGAGACGCCAGCTGACGTCACCGTCCACGCCGTCGTCAGGACGTACCTGCGGTGAGAGAGACGCCAGCTGACGTCACCGTCCACGCCGTCGTCAGGACGTACCTGCGGTGAGAGAGACGCCAGCTGACGTCACCGTCCACGCCGTCGTCAGGACGTACCTGCTGTGAGAGAGACGCCAGCTGACGTCACCGTCCACGCCGTCGTCAGGACGTACCTGCGGTGAGAGAGACGCCAGCTGACGTCGCCGTCCACGCCGTCGTCAGGACGTACCTGCTGTGAGAGAGACGCCAGCTGACGTCACCGTCCACGCCGTCGTCAGGACGTACCTGCTGTGAGAGAGACGCCAGCCGGTAGCGGCGGCGGCGGCGTCTACGCCGCGGGCTGCCAAGCGGTGCCCTGGCTGAGCTCCGCTTGCCCAGACGGCATTTGGCATCCGCTGGGAATCACGTCGAGATGGCCGACGGATTGTTTGTCCATCTGCTTCGTTTCAAAAGACCCCCACCACCACCATCACCATCACCACCACCATCACCATCACCACCACCATCACCACCCACCATCACCACCACCACCATCACCACCACCACCATCACCATCATCATCACCACCACCACCACCACCATCATCACCACCACCACCACCATCACCACCACCATCACCACCACCATCACCACCACCACCATCACCACCACCCCCACCACCATCACCACCAACCATCACCACCACCATCACCACCACCACCATCACCATCATCACCACCACCATCACCACCACCACCATCACCACCACCATCACCACCATCACCACCACCATCACCACCATCACCATCACCACCACACCATCAGCACCACCACCATCACCACCACCCCCAACCACCATCACCACCATCATCACACACCACACCACCATCATCATCACCTCCCCCACCATCACCACCATCACCATCATCACCACCATCACCACCATCACCACCATCATCACCACCATCACCACCATCACCATCATCACCACCATCACCAACCACCACCCTCACCACCACCCACCACCATCACCACCACCACCCACCACCATCACCACCACCCACCACCATCACCACACCACCACCATCACCACCATCAACACCCACACCACCATCACCACCATCACCACCATCACCACCCACCACCATCACCACCCACCACCATCACCATCATCACCACCACCATCACCACCACCACCACCATCACCCACCACCACCATCACCACCATCACCACCACCATCACCACCCACCACCATCACCACCCACCACCATCACCACCCACCACCATCACCATCATCACCACCACCACCACCATCACCACCACCATCACCATCACCACAACCTTCACCACCTTCACCACCACCATCACCATCATCACCACCACCATCACCACCACCACCATCACCACCACCATCACCCACCACCACCACCATCACCACCATCACCACCATCACCACCACCACCCACCACCATCACCCATCACCACCACCATCCCGCCTGTTGAGTTTTTCTATCTGGAAGTTGATACTGAAAATGTTATCGACTATGAGACATCTCCTTTACCAGTGGCAAAAGATAGTGGTAGGTTTTTACCCTTTCAACTGGTACTACAACTGACACCTTTATACAAGGCATCATGTTTGCAATAACCACGACACAAGCAGTTGTTTCTTTTTGTTTGCATTTTGACTGCTTGTGTTGTGGTTATTGCAAACATGATGCCTTGTATAAAGGTGTTAGTTGTTGTACCAGTTGAAAGGGTAAAAACCCATCACTATGTTATCAACTATGTAAAAGGTGGCAGATTTTTGTTGTTGTACAGATTGGATGTCAGAATAGCCTCGGTCAAATATGATCGAACCCGGGTCGGCGGGTTCATAGTGCAGCGTAGCGCTAACCGCTACCCCACCGCTCCCCACCCACACACAAAGATAAAGATCCCCGTGTAGCCTTAACAGACTGTAGAGGCAAGTGCTGTCAGCGAGCACCTACGAAGGCCGGAACGGCACACGAGGGGGTGGGTGGCCAGCACCACGCCCGACCGCCTTTGTCTCCCCGGTGGTGATGTTTACTACACACCGCACCAGGTTCTCATTTGAGGCTGAGTCGACCTAGGGGAGGCCCTGGACCGGTTCAGATAATCGTCACCGGTGTTGGCCGTGAGCGGGGATCGAACCCGGGTCGCCGGGTTCATAGCGCAGCGTAGCGCTAACCGCTACACCACCGCTCCCCACACACGTACACACGTACACACACGTGTGTGTGTGTGTGCCTTGTGCGTGAGTGCTCACAGAGGGTGGGAATTGAGACGAGAAAGCAGTGATGGGTCCAATAATTTGGTGACTCGATTTTTGGATTCTCCAGCGAAGCCTGAGAGCCGCCATTGCAATCGGGTGACGATTCAAGTGAAGACGAAGACAACGAGAAGAAAATAAGAATTTTATTGCAACAAAAACAATGACAGCCACCCAGTGCTGCTGTTTTGTTGTTGAAAAATACTCCCAGCACAGCAACGATGAAGTTGCCATCTCAAGTTGCGTTTGTTTTATCTTTTGAATATTTTTTGTATATCACAACATTGAGTCTATATATATATGATTCCTCTAAGCTAAATTGTTCATTCCCAACTACCCGGCAGTTAGCGAGGAGTCAGCTTGTCGCTGCCCGAGTGTGGATTATGCCCGTGGCGGGAGCGGTGATTATGTCGCTTGGCAATTCTGTTCTGAGCGGTTTTTGTTTTGTTTGATCCCAAACGGATCGCAACCCGGGAGGACCTCTTTGACACGCTGTGATGTCAGTCTTGCTGAAGTTAACGAATGGACATTTGTTGGTGGGATGTTGAGCAAGATGTGGCCTTGCAATCATCACCGACTCACCACACCGACAGAGCCCTTCACCATCGACTCGAAATAGTGCGGGTGTAACGTTGGCATCAAATCGTTGT